TGGAGCCATCTTAGATGGACTCATGTTGGATGAAGCTCAACCTAGTGTGTTTTCCTCGGGAAGATCATCAGAGGAGCAGGTAGCAGAGCTGTTTAAAAGCTTCAAGGGTGGCTTTGTTTGACAGTCTGCTGCTCCCCCTACAAAAAAGCACATCAGTCGCATGCAACTTTGTGTGCACATATAGATGTGTATCTATATATAGCTGTGTGTACATATATATACTTAGCTTATACATGTGTAAGTTGAAAACCCCATGCCATGAATGTCCTGTGTTTTGCAGGTTTGGTGGCAGTTGGGTGGGTGTCATGAGACTTGTGGTCTACAGTCTCACCTGCCAGCTGCGAGGGTAGGAAAAGAACTTCATAAACAGAGTGATGTGGCAGGGAGGAGGCAAGCATGGCAGGCAGGACAGTGTCTCCCTGTATACTTAGTCAAAAAGAGCATGCGGGCGCTTGGCGAGCTGCTTGGGCTCATCCCAGGAGCTGTCAGCCAGCAGTGCCCAGGTCTCCAGCGCTCTTCAGCCATGCTGTGCCGGCTGACCTCGTTCATGTAAAGGCATGTGCATGTCTGCACACCCCAAACACCCTGCAGGCCGTACTCCTTCCCAGGAACCAGCCAGGTGCCTCAGCCGACATCTTTTCTGTGTGTCCTGACACCTTTTTTTGGCTAACTACCGTTAGCCTCTTCTCTCCCAGAAGATTTTCTTCGTCCTTTGTCATTTTCGGAACCCATGCCGGCACTTGCTGCAGGGATGTGGTCGCCTCTGGGCCGGGATGGGGCTGGAGGGGACAGGGACAAGTCCACAGGGCTGCACTGGTGGCCTTGTGGCCAACAGGACCCATTCCTGCCGGCGGTGCCGCGGGCCCTTGGCCCTCCCCTGGGCGTCTGGGCAGAAAGCAAGGCGTTTGCTCTTCTTCCCTCATTCTCCAACAGCATCCTCAGTTTTTCATGCCTGCAGCGATTCAATGTCCACCTAATGGCAAGCGTAAGTAAACATTACCGGGAGCCTGGTCGACGCTGGTGGTTAGCCACGTCAGCCCACTCCGCCCCGGCAGAGGCAGCCGGCTGTGCCGGCGGCACCA